CAAGACCAGATGCTGGCGAACCCAGCAATGCAGCCTCAACCCGCCAGTTTGAGCAACGACTCGACCATGTACTCGTGATGCTCAGCGACATCAGCACTTTCGCCGCACCAGCTTCCATCAACGAGCAGCTCGACACCTTGAAGAACGAGGTTCGGCAACTACACCAGCCGACCGACAATGATGGCAGCACCAGTGCATCGCGGCAGTACAAGATGCCGACGTTCCGGATCGAAAAGTTTGATGACTATACCCATCAGGACCTGGTCCCCTGGTGGCAGGGCTTTACGACGGAACTTCGGATTCATCTGGTCCCCGACCACTTGTACATCTCGGCGCTGTTCCTCAACACCAAGGGCGGATGCCAGATCTGGCTTAGCCACATGTCAACCATCCACAACGTCCAGGTCGCCAACCTGCACCAAAAGATCTCTTGGGAAGATCTGACAAAGGAATGGAGGAAGTGGTTCATTGTTGACGACGCCCCGGCACTCGCCATCAACCGCCTCTTCGCCATGAGTCGAGGCAACACACCGACACGCGACTGGCTCACGGAATGGCAAAAGAACGTGGCAACACCCGATCTCAACTTGCTATTTTCGCATCTGCGCCGGGAGTTCTACAACCGCTCGTGTGCCGCCTTGAGCCTCGCACTGGGTGATCGCGAACAATACACGACCTTCATTGAAATTGTCGACAAGGCTCGTGAGATCATCGGCAACCTTGTCGAAGACCCGGCAGTCACCCCAGCATCGCGTGAGGGAGATCAGGTGGCCGCTGTCCAGCCGCGAAGCAACAACTCCCGTGAAAAGGGAAGGCGAACACCGCATCGCCGACCGGAAACAGACAGCCAATACCATGGGTCAAGTTTAGCTTGACCGAGGCCGAATACAAGCGGCGCAGCCGGTATGGCCGCTGCTATTGGTGCAACAGCACCACGCACAAGACCTCCCAATGCCAAGATCAAGGCAAGGAGGATGTTCGACCTCGAACCAGCTCGGGAAACTGAGCTTCGCAGGAGGTGAGGCGACTCCACATCTCACTCCGCCAGATTTGGCCGCCTTGCTAGCGGCCTCCTACACATTTGGGGAGAATGCAGATGTCGCAAGTCCTTGGTTCACTTACGAGGATTACGTTGTCCCCTTGGTCCCACCGTTGGACCAGCCACTCCACGTGCAAGACTCCACCGCATCACCATCGGCAACTGATTCGGCAGCTTCGCCTCCAACTTTCGTCGGGGATTCGATGTCATGGTCAAGACTTGAGGAACTCGACCCGTTGACGTTCGCAGACTACCAATGGATGCCCCTTCCCCCGACCGGCCGATTGCCGAAACCGCAGTGCAACGCACTCATGGCACAATTGTGAGATTACTTGGACACTGCAGTACCAGCTCCATTGATGGACGTCGGAGTAGAGGTTGTTGACCGCGGGTTCAAGACACAACGGTACGACAACAACAACGCGCCATTGCTGCACATACGCATTCAGATCGGAGAAGCGACCTGCAGTGCTTTTATCGATTGCGGAGCTACTCGCAACTATATGAGCCAAGATTTTCTGGTACGCGTTGGCCTGGGCCACGCGTTCGGAGGAAGTCGCAGCCCACACAAGTCACATTGGCCGACAGTCACACACACAAGTCAATTGACCGGTGCATTGATTCCGCCCCCGTGTACTTCGCCCCACATGCAAGCGAGGCCGTGTCCTTCGACGACACAAGGTGGATTTCTTCCAAGCATCTGCACCGCTGAGCTATGCCAACTACGAATGGCGAACAACGAAAACTTGCTAAGGAAGCTTCACAACCTGCCACTCCCACCCGGACTTTGGTCCCTCCCTCCAACAGGCAACTTCGCCCTCGCAGGTAAGCTCGGTCTTTCAAGGAGCGCGGGGTGTGGCATACTGCGCACCACACGGGCCCCACAGGGCCCGACCAGGCGGAACAAGGATAAGTATGCGTCGGTTCAGCCTAAGAAGACAGGCCAATTTTAGGCCCTCTTAAAGTCGACCCTTTTCTGAACATAGGCGCCAGACCAGGGAGAGTTACCTAGAAGCTTACCTGTGGCGCCATCGCTCCAGCTTCGTCTTCGATGTACCTGCAAGGAGGCGCCACCTTTCACAGGGTAGTAGCTGGCACTGGGAGAGAGAGTACATACTGCGATTTCACACGGGCCCTTGCAGGCCCGACACTACCGGATGGGGGGGACCTAGGCCAGCCCAACCAAGGCCGGACCTTTTTTCTCTCAGTAGGCCCCGGAGGCCACCGGTTGGCGCCTGCAGCAGACCAGGGTCGGCCCAAATGATATTACCGTTTGGGTGTGGCGGCGCCCTTGAGGCTGCCACCCGTCGGTCTGATCTGAATCATCATTGTTGACGATTCAGATCACGGCGGAGGAAGGCATCATAGAGGCCGACCGGCCGCCGAACGGTACTTAGGCCGGTCCAGCGGCCATTCCAGGAGGTTGGAGACGCAGTACGGCAGGAGGCACCAATGGTTCAGCGCAGCGGTTGGAGCTGCAGCGCTAAGTTTAGCGCACTGCAGCAGAGGGACGCGAGGAGGGAGACCCACCTGGAGTACCGCGAGCGCCATAGCTCCCAGCAGCGCAGCCCAGCTCCCGCATCAGCCAAGGCGGCACCTTGCAGATGCAGGTTAGGCCTAAGGCTACTCGCCATCTCCCCCGACTCTCTGCCTCCCCTCTCAGTCTTCTTCTTCTTCTTCTTCTTCTTCTTCAGACAGGAGACGATTGATACGACCGGAACCGGGCCGGTCCACCGGGCCAACCCCCCTCGGTGGGTCATAGCGCATCGAACATGGGGGGTCAGTTCGATTTTTTTCCAGGCCAGCAGGCCTCCATGGCCTGCATGGAGGTTCCCTGGCCCAAAACAAATCGAACCGGGTCCGGTAGGCCCGCCCAAAGGGTTTGAAAAGGGCAGCCTATCTGGACCGTTGATCTGGATAGATCAGCGGCTCAGATAGGCCACCATTTTCAAACATTTTGGGCGGGAAGTACCGGCCCTACCCCGCCCATCGGCCTACCTCTTCCGTCCCCCGCCTCCACCCTCCTCCTGCCCCCAACCTGCCACCCATTCCCTCCCCTGCCCATTTGACCTTCAACAGTCGAACTGTCGGCGCGCCCTCCTCATCGTCTCCAGCCCGTCGCTCCTCCAGCCGTCGAGCCCATCGTCATCATCGCCAGCATCCCTAATAAGAGTCACTGGTCAGTTAGTAGTTTGTTCTTTTCTTCTTTCTTCTTCTTCTTCTTCTTCTTCTTCTTCTTGTGCTAATTACCATGGTAATTAGTGCGCGCACACTAGTTGGTGGGCGTGCGGTAGTTGGTGGGTGCGCGCGCTTGTTGCACGGCATTTCGCGGGCGCGCGGCAGTTGGTGTGGTGCTGGACGGTGGTAGGGCGCACGTGATAGTTGGCTCACCCCCGATACTTCAGGCGATAGTGAGAGAGAGAGAGCGAGAGAGAGCGAGAGAGGGAGGGAGGGATGGAGGGAGGGAGGGAGGGAGAGAGAACAGTTTGTGAAGCCGTTCCCCCGCTGCCCTTTCCCCCCCCCACCTTCGTATTCTTCTTCTTCTTCTCTTTCTTCTTCTCTTTCTCCTTACCATGGTAATTAGTGCGCGCACACTAGTTGGTGGGCGTGCGGTAGTTGGTGGGCGCGAGCGCTTGTTGGTGTGCGCGGCATTTCGCGGGCGCGCGGCAGTTGGTGTGGTGCTGGACGGTGGTAGGGCGCACGTGATAGTTGGCTCGGTGCCGATACTTCAGGCGATAGTGAGAGAGAGAGCTAGAGAGAGCGAGAGAGGGAGGGAGGGAGGGAGGGAGGGAGGGAGAGAGAACAGTTTGTGAAGCCGTTCCCCCGCTGCCCTCCCCCCCCCCACCTTCGTATTCTTCTTCTTCTCTTTCTTCTTCTCTTTCTCCTTCTTGCTCTTCTTCTTCTTCTTCTTCTTCTTTTTCCTCCCCCCTCAGGCGATAGTGAGAGAGAGAGCGAGAGAGAGCGAGAGAGGGAGGGAGGGAGGGAGGGAGGGAGAGAGAACAGTTTGTGAAGTCGTTCCCCCGCTGCCCTCCCCCCCCCCACCTTTGTATTCTTCTTCATCTCTTTCTTCTTCTCTTTCTCCTTCTTGCTCTTCTTCTTCTTCGTCGTCTTCTTTTTCCTCCCCCCTCCTCCTCCCAGCGCCGTCACCACCACTTCACCCACGTTTGCCCACTGTCACCTGACTTCTTCTTCTTCTTCTTCTTCTTCTTCTTCTTCTTCGTCCTCTTCTTCTTCTATGGACCCTCCTCCATCTTCATCTTCTTCTTCTTCTACCTCTCCCCTCCTCGTTCTCTTGCATCTTCTTCTACCTCTCCCCTTCTCCTCCTCCTCAATCTTCTTCTTCTACCTCTCCCCTCCTCCTCCTCCTACGGTAGCCATAGAAACACACCCGACTTTTCTTTTCTTTTTTTTTCGAGTTACTACTACTCTTCCTCTTCTTCTACTTCCCCCCCCCCTCCTCCTCCTTTATCTTCTTCTTCTACCTCTCCCCTCCTCCTCCTCCTACCCCTCTTCTTCTTCTTCTTCTCCCCATCCGTAACCCCCCAAACCCCCGACGGTCAACCCCTGAAATATCCTCCCCCCCCCCCCCCCCCCCCCCCCCCCCCCCCAAAAAAACCCCCCCCCCCCCCCCCCCCTCCCCCCTCTCCAAAAAAAAGGAAACTTCTCTGTTCAAAGTTTTCTTTGCGGATTCGGGGAGATCTCTGTGAGCACAGTCCAACCATGTTTTCAAAAAAATAAAATAAAAGAATTGACCATCTTTTGGGCCCAACCGGAATTCCGGTTGGACCACTGGGGATCCAACCCCGCACAGCCCTGCGTCAACCCCATAACCACCAGTCCATCAACAGTCGATACCCCTCCCTTCACCTGTATGTGCATCGAGGAATGATGAAATAAATTCAAATAATCCAGACACTGAATCGAAAGTAAGACTTCCAGGACCATTCCGTGCGATACACACCCGAGTAGAAAGCGGTGGATTTGTCGCAGCGTAGTAATCGAAGAAGAGTTGCATTGTTGATGTGTCTTCTAAAAGAGGCCTCCATGAAGAGGGGATCTGCAAAAAGAAGACAACATAATACAACTACTTCAGCAACAAAGAATTGGTTAGAACTTGGATAGAAAATCATCAGAAAGATTCCATAGCAAATAATAAACACAACTACAATAATAAACACTATAAGTTAAAAACGAAAAGCAACAGTGCCTAGAGAGTCAAACAGCCCAAGAAATCCACAAGCGTGACTCTACAACAAAACAGCATTCCAAGGGAGGACCAAAAACTCAAGCACTGTTGAAATACAGATCCGAGAATGCCACCGGAAGCAGATGAGTGAAACACTACAATTCACTCAAGAGTCAAGAGTCAATAAAGCACAAACCAGCGGCGCACTAACACTGAACAAAGAAATGAAGTTGCAACCTGCCCTACCTCAGTTGGTACACCCCTGAACTGTTAAAATACAGACGCGAGTTCGAACTCTAATGGAAGCAGATGAGTGAAATACATCAATTCTGAATTACCGGGGGCCGGTCAATTCGATTTCGCCCATTAAAAACAGGAAAAAAAAAAACAAAAGAAAGATGGCTGCAAACAGAGAAAAGGCACGGAGCGCTAGGCAAGATAAAAGACAGACCCGAGTTCAAACCATAAACCGCTCTACAGTCGAAATGTGTAAGAGTTAACACAAGCCCCATCCCATTCCATCACGAACACGCCGCGCCAAATCAGAGGGGAGTCGAGTACAAACCTGGATTGTTCCCAAGTCTTCAGATCCTTCATCCAAAGAAGTGCCAACAAAGTCGAAGGAGAGACACTTGAGAGCAAGCTCGATTGCCTGCTCGCGAAGCTTATCCTCAGCTGCAAGCGCAGATCAAAGCAAAAAAGGCCCCATGTTACGTCAAAATGCTTGCATCTTGATGAAGCACGTTCCGCCCAACCACCACAATACCCACGACAACGCATGCCTTGATGACATTGCATCAAAAATTTTCCTTGCCACGGAGGTCGTTACTACTTCCTGTGGCACAATTTCCCAGCATTCCCGTCATATAGCTCTATAAACAGTCTTTGACAGGGATATGCAATTCCCCGAT